ATATTGCAAAGCATGATAGAAATATTTGCTGACCCAAAGAAAGTAACTATATTCTCACTGCAAATGCTTTTATTAGGATAAGTCCTAGAAGGACAAAGTCTATGGTACGCTTAACGCGTATAGACAAATTGGTTTCAAATAAAATTCTTGATAGAGAAGATGAGCAAATGATCAAAATGATCATCATAAGGAGGCAAATGATCTAGAAGATCACATGACATAACACTTCATAAAATCTCAGGAGAGGTTCGGGTACCTAAAATGAATGAAGAGATCTCTATATATGTTATATCTTTATGAAAAAAAGTATTAGAACCGATATAAAATATTTATAGACGACATCTATGATATCGCTAAGTATAGATAATGATCTTAAGTCTGTTGAATACAGACACAAAAATATTAGCCAAATAAAAGAGAAACAATTCAAGTAGAATTGGTTTCATATGAAAGACATGTTGTTTGGACCTGCAGTTTAAACACTTGAAAGTATAAAGTCAATGGTATGTGCAATCAGTTTTTGATATCTTATTTGTCTAGCATGACATGAAAACTTGATATGCATCTAATTAAGGTCTATTATGTGACTTAACTTATATGACATCTTTGAAGGATTTAAATCACTTAAAGCATATACAATTCTTGGTCTAAAGTACCATATCCTAAGTGCTATTTGTGCACATATGTATCTTGCTATAACTATAAGCATGATAATATCATAGCGAGAATATATCTATGGAGATATTGAAAAGGCTATTCCACGACATTATATGAAGATATTACATATATACAAGAATGTTGATTTCAAGGTGCAACATATTATTCAAGTGATAATATGGCTGATTTGTTCATCAAATCTCTATCGATGTCAACCTTCAAGAAGCTAGTGTACAAGATTGGGATACGGAGGCTCAAGGATGTGAATTGGTGCTCTCATCAGGGAGAGTTAATACGCGTTGTACTCTTTTCTCTTACAAGGTTTTATCCCACTGAGTGTTTCTTGCAAGGTTTTTAACGAGACAACCAAAAGACGTAATTCGAAACATGTGTATTCTTTTTCCTTCTCAAGAAGTTTTTTCCTATTGAGTTTTATTTTAGTTAAGGTTTTAACGAGGCATATTATTTATTGAATAGATATTCAAAGGGGAGTGTTATAAATAAAATTGTATTTAAGGTGAATGTCTATATTTTAGAGAGATTTTAGGGATTATTACTTGGTGGCTAAGTCACTCTTTCCCTGTAAATAGAGAGATTCTATTCCATTGTAATTGATCCTAAATCAATAAGAATTCTCTCTATACTTTTCTCTGCAATACTCTTCTCCTTATTGTTTTATAACATATACTTAAAAAAAAGTATCCGACGATTTCCACTTTTTTCAGCTTTATGCAACTTCAAAGGTCTTACTGAATTTTTTTTGTAGTGTTATCATCTCGCAAATCTCTTATAATAAGAATTACTAAGGAGCCAAACTCACTTGCTTTTTATTTTTTTATTCGGGTTGATATAATACTTCTTTGTCTTGTTTCATTAAAAAAAAATTGTCTGGTGTAATAAATATATTAGTAAAGTTTAATATTCATATTGTGTTGGTCTTAAAAAAATCTGTGGCTGAAAAACAAAACAGGATGGAAGCAAAAAAAAAAAGAACTAAAAAGATTGGGGAAGTAGAACAAAAATGGCCGAAAAAATAATTTTGCTGGTGGGATTTTATGTTTTTCGGGCGGGTTACTGTTTGGGTCAAAAAAATTAGGTATTGGAGTGAATTTATTTAATTGGGGTCAGGGTTTAAAACTGGAGCAATGATAAAATGTCACATGAAATTTAATGATATATATTTTTAAATTTAATGTTGACCGTTAGTCATAAGGGCATAAATGAGCCTCAAAAGTAACAATGGGGATATTTTTAGATTGATAGGGGAAAGTGCACGGTTGGCCACTAATAACACATGTATTTACTTTTAAGCCACCGTTTAAAATGTCTTTAGTATTTAGCCACTGCTTTAATAAACTTTAATTGCCCAGACGAAAATACCCTTCTGCTTATGTCCTTAACTTTTGTACTTAACTTCAGGACTACATGTCCTTAACTTTTGAACTTGGAACTCTAAGTTCAGGACTTCAAGACTACATGTCCTTAACTTTTGAACTTGAAACTCTAAGTTCAGGACTTCAGAACTACATGTCCTTAACTTTTGAACTTGGAACTCTAAGTTCAGGACTTCAAGGCTACATGTCCTTAACTTTTGAACTTGGAACTCAAACTTCAAGACCAAGCGTTCTTAACTTTTGAACTTGTAAGTCAAAGTTAAGGACTTATTGTCCTTAACTTTTGAACTTGTAACTGTAAGTTAAGGACTGCTTGACCTTAACTTTTGAACGTGTAACTGTAAGTTAAGGACTGTCTGTCCTTAACTTTTGAACTTGAAAATCAAAGTTAAGGACTTATTGTCCTTAACTTTTGAACTTGTAACTGTAAGTTAAGGATTGTCTGCCCTTAACTTTAGAACTTGTAACTGTAAGTTAAGGACTGCCTGCCCTTAACTTTTGAACTTGTGTCCTTAACTATTGAACTTAATTTTAGGACTTCAAGATTACATTTCCTTAACTTTTAAACTTGAAACTCTATCCGAAACTTGAAAGCTCCCATAAAACGTCATATCCGAAAAAAGTCCACTGAGGTCCATTTCCAACATGCTTCGACATAGCAACGATTTGTACCAAGAGAACACCAGAGAATACGAAGTCTTTATGTTTTGAATGCATCGGTGTATTTCCGTTTGGGGAGGAAAGGGTAACACAGTCTTTTCATATTAATTTTAATAGACTAGTGGCTACTATTGCTAAGCATTAAAAATATTGGATAAAAAGTAAATATCAGCTTAAACAGTGGCTATCCCACACCATTTCTACGTGAGTGGAAGGTATTTATAGCCCAAATAAAATAGTATAAAGATATTTTTTGTCCTTTTCCAAAAATAAAATTAGTAACTAATTGTGTTCAATTCTACATGTATACATGTCTGAAAATCTTCTCCCTCTTTTACTCTGTGAAAATCAAATTTCCAAGCTTAACAATATAGTTATATCCAACAAAATATTATGAATTAATATTACATTTAAACTTAAATCAACTCTGCCATTAAATAAGCCTCACATAGCCTTAGCCTAAAATAGGAATCGGAAAAGGGTCAAAATTACCTTTATTATTTATTAAATGGTTAACAAATTACAAATATCTTCTCTTCATCTATCAGTCAAAAAATACACACAACGTCTATCTATCAGTCCGACAATACACACTATGTTATTTCTATTAATAAAAATACCCTCATGTCTAATAGCAGAACTGGTGGACCTTCAATTTAATGAGGTGGCATACTTTTATTGGGCCACATGGATCTTGGTTTCAGTCCATACAAATGGGATAATATACCCGGCCTTTTTTTGACCCGCCCCATTCATCTTATTTTCACCCTTACGATCCCCATCCCTCAAGTCCACTCTTTTTTTTCTTTCCCTCCTTCCTATATTCAACAAATTCAAAACAGAAAAACATTAAAAAATTCAATCGTGAAGCAAAAGCTCAAATTTTTGTGTCAATACTCAAGGCCACATATCGTATAGAGCAAGTACATCAATAATCCAAAGATTAATTTATTTATAGATGCCAAAAACGGAAGCCAAACACAATTTGACAAGAAAAACAATGAAAGAAATAACATCAAATCCCAGTAATAGAAGCAAGATTATCTGAAAATAGAATGAAAAGAAGAGTCTGAAAAAGAAAACAAAACTATTGGTCGCCATAAACTATTTTCTGGGGGTTATGCAAGAATCAAGCAAAATTACAATTGTTCGAATATATGATTGATGAAATCTTGGTCATTTTGGTCCAATTTAGTGTTTGAAGACCAAAACTCCCTAATCCGTTCCAGAACCACACACGATGAGCAAGGCACAGACACACACATACACACTAATGTGTAGATAAGCTAATCTATCACGATACATGCTTTTGGATCTGCCTAATTTTGAGGAGCATTTATTTTCATTTTAGCTTTCTCCGAATCACTTGTAAAAATAGACTCAAGATTTATCAGTCGAATTTCTTTGAAAATCAACTAAAGCACAAATGCACAATTAGCAGAACCATATTTTTTTCCAGATCCGAAGACCTTTATTTGAGTTCTCAAAGAAAGAACAACAAAAAAATGAAATAAAATGGAAAAAAAGAGAGGAGAGATGATGAGGCAGTTGAGCTCCGGTGGCCTGGTGGCAAATTTCCACCGGTGAAATAAGAAAAGAGAAATGAGATAGAGTAAAAAATGACTTAAGCTACGAAGTATTTTTGACCCGGGTAACAAAAGTAGGGTCGGATTCAATTAACAGGGCGGAATTAGACTCAAATTTGATTTCTGGTGAGCTTGCCATGTGGCCCAGTAAAAATATGCCACCTCATTAAGTTGAAAGCCCACAAGTTCTGCCGTGAGACGCGAAGGTATCTTTATTAATAAAATTAACATGTGTATTTTTGGATTGATAAATGAACGGAGAGTATTTGTAAACCATTTAACAAACATAGGAGTATTTTAGACCCTTTTCAAATAGGAACGAGGTTGCGTCTACATCAAATTCCCTTTGAAAGCAATTTTGAACAAAATGATTCTCCCTCAGCTCATTAAGAACTTCCTCCTTTCGATGTTATGTGACGCTTATTTGACCCTGTCATGACTTTACTCACTTGAAAAAATGCTGATTTAATCATAGGAGAGAAAAAGTAACAAGAACATGCTCAAGTTTCAGCATCTCTCACTTTATTTTTGGTAGTAAAAGCAATTTTGGAACTACAAAACAATTGTTGAGCTTTCTGTTATTCTGTTGCATTTCAAATCTGTAGATACTATTGCATGGGCGGAAAGGGTAACATTTCAGACCACAATGTTGAGAATTTTTTGTACATCCAAAAGTCATTCTTTTATTGATGAAAATAGTATAGATGCGAATTCAACTGTCATTTTTAGAATATTTGAACTGTTAATGAAAACATTACCCTGCAAAGGCCAAATCCTTTTGCTGGAAATTGCTGATCACACCCAGAAATTGATAATTTTGTCAACTATTGAACGCTAGTTTCTCACTGATACATAAAGGACACAATATAGAGTTATACAGCAGGGCATTGTAGCTGGAAGGCCTTCTCGGGGTTTTGTCCGTCGATTTCTGAATGGTGAGGGACATCATAAGGCATCTTTTGGGCAGAAAAACCTGCTTCATTGAACGCTTTAACAACTTCTTGGTGAACAATGGCATTGCCTTCTGCTGTGAGATGTAAGCCATCACTGTAGCAAAATAAAACAGAAAAAATAAGAGTTTTCACATTTCACCATCGAGGGTCTTCGGAAACAGCCTCTCTATCTTCACAAGATAGGGGTAAGGTCTGCATACGCACTATCTCCCCAAACACTACTTGTGCATTACACTAGGTCTGTTATTGTTGTTGTTGTACATTTCACCACTAAAAATATCCCCATAAGTACTGAGTTCAGTGTAACTGCCAAGACACATGTATATTGATGATGCCATGACAAGAATGCCACTGTTTGCTGCTAATTGAGGCCACCAGCGCATCTCCATGCCAATCCTCCCCACCCCTTCCCCCGAACTCCCAATCATCCTTATAAAACATTATAAGCATAATCATTCCTCTAACACCATATTGCACCACGAACTTCAACCATCAATGGGGACTACACAAGTTATACTTAAAGGCATGTGTACATTTGTCACTTACCTGAGGAATTTTTTTTGCCAACCCTCTGTTTCCTGCATTTTAGACCATAGATTGATGGAAGGGAGGCCTAGCTCCCTTGCCAATTCAACGCACTGTTTTGCGTACTCTCCTGTCACTTCATTTGTCCTTTCTGGCAATTTCATTGCTTTGTCTCCATACATAGACCTGTTTTTCAAATTGAAAAGTAACAGATCCAAGTACAATAATATTTGATTTAGTTGACAGTGACACGCTTACGTTTAAAAAAGTGCCATGCCAAAAGCTAAATATATGAAGCAAAAAATAAGCTGGAAACGTAAAACTCCGTTTCACTGATAGAGTTTTGCTTTAAGAGGAAAAAGTGGTTAAAAGGAAAATGACCAAAAGAACAATGCAAAGAATATGACGTGATGTCCATGAGTACATGATAAAGGCACAGGTCATACTGCTAAAAGGCTACTGGGTCCTGAAACATTCATCTATAATTAGAAAAATCATTTGCACTACTGTTGCTGTAAAAGTTATTAAGGAATGTACTCTCTGATGCGGGGCCACTACTGAAGGGTTGATCTCTTGTGTGACAACTGCATATTCGGCTCCTACATTGGGTACTGTTCGATAGCCATGATCAAGGGAGTCTCAAGTGATGCTGAAGCTGCCTTTGCAGCAATAGCTGTAATTATGATTCAAAGAGGCACTGTACACAAAAACCAATCTTCTTATTCCTCTTTCTTTTTGCCCTCTTTTTGGGGTTCTTTTTTGAGAAGTCTGCTTATTTCTCCAGTGTATGTTTGAGAGGTTGGTTAATCTCTCCAGTTATATGTTGAGAAGTTATTGGATACTGTTATCTACTCAGCTTTTGAACAGTTAAAGCCCTATCCCACTACTAAAAGGAGCTCCGGGTTGTGTCAAGAAGGTTCTTGAACATCTCAGATACCATAGAGTTCAAAAAAGAAATAAAAAGAAAAAGAGCAATTGGTTGCTTCATATTTTATTTTACCAATAACGAGAAGGTGGATTGTACCTTGCTTGTTCAAACCGTCCTGCTTCATCAACTGGTGGTGGAGTTATCAGCACTACTAGGATTGATGGGGAACATTTCTGTGTCATAAATAAGATGAATGAGATATACAAAAGAGCACAAAGCTCAACCCAGAGTTCTAAAGATATATAGAGCATAACAGAAGACAAGGGCCTAGTGTATCCTGTTGTACTCAAAACAACCCCGGAATCGAGCAATTGGATGGGTATCACTAGAAGAGTGAGATTCAAACTAAATTCAATTTGCCAGCAGGTGGATTCATGATCTCTATATACTTGGGATATTTTATGTCGTCTCAACAAGCACATTAACAAGAGTATGAACTAAAGTTAACAAGACATATTTTATGTCTGTTCATGCCAATCTACCATTCCCATTTTCTTGCGTTGTACTTTTGCTCATTATTTGTGAAAGTGAATAGTTGGTAAAATTAATTACTCCATTGGGAAGAATCTGCATGTCTTCCAACTAGCATAGCAACTAGGTTTTGAGAGGTTGCATACTCTTATGGACTACCATTACACAACTTGCATAGTGACATCCAGAGCTTTGTTTTATAGATATCCATTCTCTCTGATGTTACTTATGAATATGTATTCCTCTATGTTACGCTCTTTCTGATGTTACTGGTGAATATGTGTTCCTCTATGTTACACCGACTCTTAATTTTGCCAATATGTAATTGTGTCAAACAGGTTTGACATGTATATCTGTACTTCGTATGAAACTTGAAAAAAAAAAAATACAAACATGCTAAACATTGCACATTTCCTGCCTAATTCAAATCTGAATCCTTACTCGTACGTAAGTCCATGTAATATAGGTGTTCCTCTTCTAAAGGGGGGAAGAAGAAGAAGAAAAGGAACAACTAAGAGGCAGATAACCCTATGAACCTTCAAGAATATATTAGTCTATGGTAAATTATTTGATTAACATGGGAAATTTACAATCACAGCCGGTAGTGAAGCTTCATAAGTCTGTTACTAAGGTCTTTATAGTGTTCATTCAGCTCAGTTATTCCACAAATAACCAAATTGCGATGAGATAAAAATGATTACTAACCTGACCTCAAAAATATTATTCATAAGATGTCAAGCTTTAAATAATAGCTCAACATCAGAGGCTCAATTTTGATTCTTCAGTATCCTGGTCATATGACAGAAAATTGCTGCAATGCTTCTACATATAATTTTGTGGGAAAACTAGCTATAAATTTTACAGTTTTTTCTTTTTATGGTGAGATTGAGTAACTCTGTGTTTTTTACTTAGTCCTCATAGCATATAACACTTGTTGTTTGCTGCATTGGCTTAATACTACACTATTTCCATTGTTGCCATTAACTCTATCCCTTTACGTCTTCCATATCCTGCCATTTTAATTGTTTGATAAGTCTTCCATAGACAAACATAATTAGGAGGAAAACTTTAGCACATTTGAAAGTCAGCATTTAGCAACAAACAAGCATGATTGAATCGGGAAATTCTAAACCTTCAAATGTTGTATAATTCTTCTTAGGTTTTCCTTATATTCCTCGAGTGGGACATGTTGCCTTTCACTGGTTCTTCCCAAAAGAGCAGCATCATTGGCTCCAAAGAATATAGTGGCAGCAACAGGAGGCGTTGGAGCATCCTGCAATATTAACCAAAGATACACTAATCAGAAGATTTGGCAATAAGTAACAGTGCAGCTCAGGACCACAACAGACCTTTGCATATATCAAACTCCCAAACTATGTGTATTGTTGTATTGTACTAATAACCTCAAGTATGAGGCAGCTGAAGAATCTAACAAATAGCCTCATAACTTAGCTTGATTGAATAGGATCCTGAACAAACTTACTCACTTATAAATTAGAGATATCAATGTTGAAAAGGAGCAACTTTGTTGCAGCAAAAACAGTAAAAGAGTATGACAGTATACCGTTCTTATACTAGTAAACAGCCAAATCAAGCAACAAAAACTCAGCTTCTTGATGTGGCTGGTCACAGAAGTCTGTTATTCCATGGCCAATGTCATCTTTTGTTCTCTATTTCTGAATTACATGAACATTCCAGAACAAGAAACTAACTCAATTCTTGGTCTGACATGAAACTTATCTTAAGAAATTTCACGTTTTCTTCTTTACTTGTACCCTCTGTTAGAACATCACATATCTCTTTTCTACCTTTTGAAACAAAAACTATGAGAGGAAAACTGGGTTCACCACTGTACCATTGCCCAATCCCACCGAAGAACAACAAATTGAACAATGCCTCTTGTGTTATCCCTTACTCCTAACCCTGGTTGACCGCATTCAATTTTGTTTTTTCCCATAAGTCTTTCTTGATCCCATTGTTCCATGAACGCTCAAATTAAGCATAAAGCCATCGACTCCATAAAATTTCAAATTTTAAATAAAGCATAATCAAGTGAGTCACAAGAAAGTTACAGAGAAGCCCAGTTCACGAGGATCAAAACTCATGTATATATGCATGAAATAATTCCCTCCCTAATTTGTTGCATATAAATTCCATTCCAATTTCCAAATACAAACTACAAATAACACAATCTCTCAGTTCCTTCATCCCTATTGATTTTGCAAATTCGTAAAAATCTTGATCTTACCCTTTACTTATTATATATAGCAATGAGCTCCAACAAAATTCCTAAAATGGGAAATTAAAGTACCATCCAAAAGCACACACTAACTAGCATCAACACATATCTAAATCATTACAATACTTAAATGTCCTATAATCATGAGGTAATAAAGATCCAACATCAGTTGAGATCGGATATATGAATCCTCAGTATGACAGTATCCATCCTGCTCTATTAAAGCCCATTTCATTAAACAAATATCAACGAACTCAGTAGATTTCCAACTACAATTTACAAAAACAAAATCTTTTTCTCTTAGACCCCATTGATTTTTTTTGCAAATTCAGCAAAATTCCTGATCTTACTCTATATCAAAGCTATAATTTGTTTTAGCAATGTACCCCAACAAAATATCCTAAATCATCACAACCCATCTAATATCCTAGCTCCAATTATAATCATGAGGTAACAAGATCCAAAAACAAAAGGTATTACCAAATGTGCCAAAAAATGGAAAATGCAAAGGGGGTCGTGTAACGTACCAGTGGAAATAGGTGGTGGAGCAAGAACAATCCCCATTTGGTGTTGTATCCACCGTAGCCACGATTCAATATATCAGCCTTCACAATTATCAAATCCAATGACTTTTAATTAATAGATTCGTATAATTGTTCTATAGATCCACTTGATTAAAAATAAAACAAACGAACCTTGCGAACATAAGACTCAGCAAGAGCTGCACCCCAACCACCGAATCTAAAAGATTGTTCAGTAATGGAGTCCCCAAATAATACTATTTGAGGCCTCATTTTCAGAAGTTACAAAATTTCCTGAAATTCAAACCAAAATCTTTGATTTTTGTTTTTATACTATTGCACAAGAAGGGAGGTGTGTGGCTAGAGCAAGAATGACTTAATTGTTTAGTCTTATATTCGAGACTAATAGAATGCCTGAAGAGTGGAGGTGGAGTACAATGGTCCCGTTGTATAAGAACAGAGGTGATGTCCAGAGATGTAACAACTATAGGGCATCAAACTACTAAGTCATACCATGAAAGTTTGGGAGAGAGTGGTAGAAATGAGAGTGCGAAGGACGGTGTCTATTTCAGACAACCAGTTCGGGTTGATGCCGGGACGATCTACCATAGAAGCTATCCACCTTATTAGGAGGATGGTGGAACAGTACAGAGATAGGAAGAAGGATCTCCACATGGTGTTTATTGATCTGGAGAAAGCGTACGATAAGGTTCCTAGGAAGGTCTTATGGAGCTGCTTAGAGGATAAAGGGGTCCCGAGTAACTATATTAGGGTGATTAAAGACATGTATGATGGAGCTAAGACTCGGGTTAGGACAGTAGGAGGCGACTCTGAACACTTTCCAGTTATTACGGGGTTGCACCAAGGGTCTGCGCTCAGCCCATTCCTATTTGCCCTGGTGATGGATGCACTGACTCATCATATTCAAGGGGAGGTTCCATGGTGCATGCTATTTGCTGATGACATTATTCTAATTGACGAGACAAGAGGCGGCGTCAACGAGAGGCTAGAGATTTGGAGACATGCTCTTGAGTCTAAAGGTTTCAAGTTGAGTAGGACGAAGACGGAATACCTCGAGTGCAAATTTGGAGTTGAGCCGACGGAAGCGGGAGTTGAAGTGAGGCTTGACTCTCAAGTCATTCCCAAGAGAGGTAGTTTCAAGTACCTTGGATCGGTTATTCAGGGGATCGGGGAGATTGACGAGGATGTCACACACCGTATAGGGGTGGGGTGGATGAAGTGGAGGTTAGCGTCGGGAGTCTTGTGTGACAAGAAAGTGCCACCGTTACTAAAAGGTAAGTTTTATAGAGCAGTGGTTAGGCCTGCCATGTTATATGGAACTGAATGTTGGCCGGTAAAGAACTCACACATCCAGAAGATGAAAGTAGCAGAGATGAGGATGTTGAGGTGGATGTGCGGGCATACAAGGATGGATAAGATTAGGAATGAAGATATTCGAGAGAAGGTGGGTGTGGCCCCCATGGAGGACAAGATGCGGGAAGTAAGACTCAAATGGTTCGGGCACATTCAGAGGAGGAGCACTGATGCACCGGTGAAGAGATGTGAGCGACTGGCTGTAGTGGGCACGCGGAGAGGTAGAGGGAGACCTAAGAAGTATTGGGGAGAGGTGATCAGACATGACATGACGCGACTTAGGATTACTGAGGACATGACCCTTGATAGGGAATTATGGAGGTCGAGCATTAAGGTTGTAGGTTAGGGGAGAGTGTGAATATTTCTACAGCACAATAGAGTGAGACTATCCAGTTAGGAGTTAGACTAGGAATGTCATTGGTCGTCTATTGATGCAGGGCTTTACCTTCTAGTTGTGCTATACCAGCCATCTATTTCGTATTTCGTATTTCATATTCTGTATTTCATATCTCTTATGTATTGTTGTTATTTTTATTATGCATTTTAATGGTACTAATATATCATCTCCTATTGCTTTTTTGAGCCGAGGGTCTCCTGGAAACAGCCTCTCTACCCTTCGGGGTAGGGGTAAGGTCTGCGTACATATTACCCTCCCCAGACCCCACTTGTGGAATTATACTGGGTCGTTGTTGTTGTTTACTATTGCACAAGAAGACGAGGGAAAGATGAGAGGGAAAAAAATAAGGGTCCTTTGGTTGCTAGTTAGATTTTTGGCGTTTTTAATAATTTATCTTTTAGTATTAATTAATAATTAAATTGATGTACTAATTTTAATTTATTTATTAAAAATATAACAATTACTCCTAAATTCTTTATTTCAACTTTAACAAAAAGAAGTTAATTCCTTAATATTGTGGACACAAAAAAAATCAAAAAATTAATTAAAGTGGGCTGGAGGGAGTAGAGATTAGTTATGCAGGAATTAGTTATGTCAAATTTAGTTATGCAAAAGTTAGTTATATTGGGATATACTAGAATCAGTTATGAATGGACTAGTTATGCGATAGTTATGTAAAGATTAGTAATATAAAAATATACTGTGAATATCGTTTATTATTAGTCTTGATTATTTTATTAAGATTATCATTATATTTTAAATATATTTTTTAAAATAAAAATATACAAGTTTGAATAGATGATATTTTTATTATTTTGTGTTTTAATACAAGTACTAATTATTAATACATGTATAAGTTATTTCATCTTCTACCCTACATAAATAATACACAAAGTCTCTCATTACTTAGTACATGTTTAGTTATGCAAAAAGAAAAGTATGAACCAAACACTATATTAGCAATGCTATGTAAGTGGAAAAAAGAAAAAAAACGACCAGATATTATTAAAATATATGCTAGATTCTATGTGGAGATTATTTTTTCTTATTTTTATAACTAAACATGTATAAAGTTATACTAGGTTTAATACATGGATTACTCCTCTCTAATCGGCTATCGAATGACCCCTAATTGTAAAAAAAACCTCTTGAAAACTTGAATGGAGAAAAAAACCTTCATTTTTTTGGAATTTTTACTTAGCTATACTACTTTTGAAAATTATTTACTCTCACTATTGGAGTTTTAACTTAATTACAAGTTGATATATAATTTACCACTTTTATACATTTTAGTATTAAATAAGTAGGCCTTTTAACTTCTTAACCGAATCTCTCTCTCTCTCTCTCTCTTCGTCTCTCCTGCTCTGTAACGATTCAGCCGGTCGTTTCATGTGTTACCGCTCCGTTTTCTCCATTTCTGCTTCTTATTGTCTTGTTCAGCTGTATTATATGTTACCGAGTTGGTTGGATCGGGTTCGAAGAGGTTTTGGGTAAGGTTTGAGACACTTAGTCTCTTTTGAGTAAGCTTAAGTTGGAAAAGTCAACCGGATGTTGACTTATGTGAAAATGGTTCGGATATAAATTTTGATGGTTCGGATAGCTTCGGGAGATGATTTTGGACTTAGGAGTGTGATCGGAACGTGTTTTGGAGGTTTGGAGTAGATTTAGGCTTGAATTGGCAAAATTGGAATTTTGGCGTTTTCCGGTTGATAGGTGAGATTTTGATATAGGGGTCGGAATGGAATTTCGGGAGTTGCAGTAGGCCCGTTGTGTCATTTGGGATGCGTGTACAAAATTTCAGGTCATTCAGACGTGGTTTGATGGACTTTTTGATCAAAAGCGTAATTCGAAAGATTTTGGAACCTTAGGTTTGATCCGATGTGATTTGGTTGATTCGATGTTGTTTGAGGTGTTTTGAAGATTGGTATAAGTTTGGATAGTGATATGTGACTTGTTTGTGCTTTTGGTTGAGGACCTGGGGGCCTCGGGGTGATTTCGGATGGTTGACAGAAAGTTAGGAATTGGGAGTTTGCAGCTAAAGTTTTATGGTTGCTGTCATAACCGCATCTGCAGTTGGGAGGCCGTAGGTGCGACTCCCGCAGATGCAGAAGAAAGTCGCAGAAGCGGCCAAGAGGTAAGTCAGGCGGAGCCACAGAAGCGGAAGTCTGGACGCATCTGCGATGGCGCAGGTGCGAGAGAGTGACCGCAGGTGCGGTCCCAGACCTTTAAGTGAAAACCGCAGGTGCGGTGGGTTAGACCGCAGAAGCGGGAAATGACCGCAGGTGCGGAATCCCTGGGTCAAAAGGTATATATTTCACCCTTCGCAATTTTTGGCCATTTTTCTCAATATTTCATTCGAGTGAAGCTTTTGGGAGCCATTTCAAGAGAGATTTCAGAGGGATTCATTGAGGTAAGGTCCTTGGTTCCTAAGCTCGTTATTATGGTGATTTTTATCGTTATTAGCATGAAATTTAAGGGAAAATCAATGGTAAAATAGGGGTTAGGGCTTGGTTAATTGGAGAGCTTTGAATGGTGATTTGAGGGACCATTTGATGTCCGATTTTGGTATGAATGAACTCATGGCGGAATAAAGATTCTATTGATGTAAAATTTGTCGAATTCCGAGACGTGGGCCCGATGGACGGGTTTGGTCAATTTCGGATTTTGTGTTGTAATTTGATTGTTTTCGATTGGGCTTGTTCCCTTAGCATATTTTGATAATTATGAACTGATTTTGGTTATATTCAAGGCATTCGGAGGCCGATTCGAGAGTAAAAGGCGTCGCGGGCTAGAGTTTTGGCTTGGCTTGAGGTAAGTAACGCTTCCAACCTTGGTTCTGCGGGTTCGAAACCCCGAACGATGTGTTCTATGACTATTATGAAGGTGGCGCTATGTCAAGTGATGGGCGTGTGGGCGTGCACCGTGAGAAATATGGCATGGATCATTCTATGACACTACTTAGCTACTCCTTTATGTTGATATCTGTGTCGTAATCATGTGATCAAGTTGATAAGCTGCAAATCATGTTAATTATCATGTTAAGGCTTCACGCCAACACTGTTGAGACCCGATAGGTCGTTTCTTGCTATCATGTCATTAGATTCATGTATATTCTATACTTAATCCTGTTCGTGCATATTATATCATGCCTCAGTCTCGATTTATGCCATTTGACATATCATTTCATTGTTCGGGCTTGTATTATGACATCTTAGCCCATGTGTGTGAGACTGGAGAGTATTGACTGAGTGAGGCCGAGAGCCGAATATTGATTGACAGTACGACATCGGGTTGCACGCCGCATCAATGATATTGATCATGCCTTCGCTGGCATTGATATAGCGCTTGGGCTCAGACAAGCCCCTACGGAGTCTTTATACCCCCAGTGAGCGCAGTAGATGATTATATTGAGGGATGGATCTTCCCTGGACATGGATCTTGTCCGAAGTACCATACCAGGAGATGGATCTTCTCCGAAAGACTGGATCAGCCTGTGTCCTCGGTATTGAATGACTGCGGTCAGTGATATATATATTCCGGGATGGACCTTCCCTGGGCCGGATGGCCATATACAGTACCGAGTGATTGAGAACTTGTGAATGGAAGTTGTGGAACTTTGATCATGCTAGTGTGCATTGGTACATATATGAAATCTCTGAGTTTTGAACTCTTTTCACTGATCAGTTACATCTATTACTGTTGAGTTTTACTTGAACTGTAAGCATGTCTATATTTTTGTTCCGTTAATTGCTATTTGCATGTTGAGGTTTTGTCCGTCACTACCTGTCAGTCCACAGGTTGGACTTATTACTTACTGAGTTGGTGTACTCACGTTACCCCCTGCACCTTGTGTGCAGATCCAGGTGTATATGGTCATGGTAGCGGTTGCTGATCTTCTTTGTGCAGACTACCACCGGAGATTGCGAGGTAGCTG